CTAGGTTTTGAGCTGACACCCTCTTCGACGTTTCCAATTAGGCAACGGTTTCGGGTCGAGGGCAGTAACACTGAGCTCCCGAGGTTGACGACAGACAATGTGTCCAAACCACCTCAGCCGTCTTTCTTGGATTGCCCGGGATACCCTTGCGATGTTATTGCAGCGAGTGCGGACTGGTTCGTTGGAGAGAAAGTCGGCGTACTTCACTCGAATGATGGTCCTCAAGCAGTAGTGGTTAGACTTCCAGTTTCCCGACCGGTTATGACGGAGCTCAGGCTTACTGCCCCTGGGCATCACGCTTTAGTTCTGATGTACGAATTTTAGTGAATGTCTTATTTTCGGGCACTCGTTCATTCTGACTCTTCTACCCCATCTTGCTCAAACTCTCCCAGTACTGTGCTTAACACAATTTACTCATGTCACAATACAACAATGGATGGACTTATTAGGCTAGAACGATCTGATTTCGATCCAAGTGCTTCAGACGCTTTTATAGAACAGAACAGAATTTCACGTCCACAACCGAAGGTGTGGAACCGAACAAGCTAGACATTCTGGATAAATATTGTAGCCTCTACAGTCGGCGAAGGCCTCAGTGAGTCGTCTATTTACGAAGAAGCGATATACAGCCAGGGAGGAAAATCTGTCGAGCAGTTCACTTAAAATAGGGACGTTGGCGAAAGACAGCCACGCTAACTTAAATTCTCGCGAAATCTAGCACAGAGCCTCCCGCAGATGGTTCCTGTTCCCATGTCCCTCTGGGCGGAATAGGCGGCATTTAGAAACTTTATGCCCAACTGCATTTTATATCACTATATCCGACAGAAATTGGTTACGTATATGAATTAAAACTCTCAAACTGCCTTTTGGTCATGAACAGTATTTGCCGAACCAGACTCTTTCGTCGGCTTTATTAACTTCCGCTACTGAGGTGTATGAAAGCCCCGCGCACCTTTTGCGACACGTGGGCGACGATGCAGCACGAAATCGGCACCATATGTCATCGTAAATTATAAAAGTAACTATCAACTTCTGCCTTTTTTCGACGCTGTGTCAGACTTAGGAACATTTCCAATTACAAATGATAAAGACGTGCTTAAGCGCTGCGACGCAAAGGGAAGCAGAGCAACAGCAATTTAAGCTGCAAAGGACGCAGTCTATAAATGTAACAAATAACGACGGATACATTGAAGCATTAGGCAGTCGTGGGGTAAAAACGCTCTGGTTATCGTAGACGAAAATTTTGGCGCGGCTTTAATAGAACCTAAAAATATCTAACTGCAAGAAAGTGGGGCAAAGACTGCAACAAATACGGCTAAGTGGGTACTGACGTTTATGTGCGTAGCCTGTGGGCAAAAGACGAATATAGAACGAATACAAACTCCTGCCAAGTGACTGACAGTAATTTGGTATGGCGAGATATGCGTGGTTCCATTACTGTTATATACTCGCCGGCGATAGTCCTTCAGCACCCCACGCGATATTTTGAAGTAAAGCCCATGCGTCTTCCGATTATCAACATGGCAGGTGGAGGCCTAACTAGTTAGGTCACACAGACATATAAAACGACAATGATATGAAATACAATCATAGTACGTTCGGAAAAGCAGGAGTGAACTGGCGACAGTTGAGCAAATACTTGCTAGTTAAATAGCAGAACATGCCCGACTCTTCTGTGTTTGTTTGACGTCCCGACTGTAAAACCGTGAAATCTGCCAAATCTTGCC